GTATGAGTCGTGGTCTTGAGAATAACATTGGTTGTATGAGTCGTGGTCTACAGGTTTCATGGTCTAGAGAACAATATTCGTCAACAGATCCCAAAGAGCCATCATTATAGTCTTAAGAATGTCATTTAGTGAGGACGTGATTCTCATTTACGTCACCTGAAGATTAACCACCCTAACGCTACTAGTTAGATTAGGTTAGGTTAGGTTAAGAGTCCTCAGGTGAAATAATCTGGGGGCAAATGTTCAGGTAATCCCATAATCCTTAAACCAGCTTAAACCAACGACCTGTAAAACGATCTCCACGACCACCTCCCCGACTCCTAGATCGACTCCTTCTCTCTGATTACCTGCCACGACTTGATGTTCTCTCCACCAACACTATTACTACGATCTCCCTCACTCTTCCTTCTCCATCACCACCACTACCTCCCTCACTACTACACCTCACCCCCCTCCTTCCTCTATCACCACCACTACCTCCCTCACTACTACACCTCACCCACCCCCTCCTTCCTCCATCACCACCACTACCTCCCTCACTACTACACCTCACCCCCCTCCTTCCTCTATCACCACCACTACCTCCCTCACTACTACACCTCACTCCCCTCCTTCCTCTATCACCACCACTACCTCCTCACTACTACACCACCCCTCCTTCTGTACCACCACACTACCTCCTTCACTACGCTAATTCACCCAATTCTCCTCCATCACCCTCTCACCTCACTGTTCCTCCTCCATCACGTGGTAATGGAGGATAGAGACTAAGGGAATCATATCATGGTAAAAGAAGATCTATCCTCAATCTCCTTCATCCCACCTCCTTCATCACCTCCTCCTTCATCACCTCCTCCTCATTAGCACCACCAAGGTCACACACACACTAGAGGCTCAGGAGGTCACTCGGCCACAAACCCTGAAAACTCACGGTGATATTCTATAATTTTCCCGCCAAATTTGTGTGATATTCTACAATTTTCCCGCCAAATTTGTGTTCATTGGGGCATTTCTCATCTGCCAACACCATCTGGGGCGACCATCCACTTCCACACTCTCTAATACGACTAGATTTCACCCTAAAACTTTCCCTTCTTTCTTTTTTTTCCCCTAAATATTTTCTTTTCTTCCCCAACTTGGTAAAAAAAAAAATATTTATTCTTTTGATTTATTTTTGGGGGGAATTGAATTTGGTACATGTCAGGTACATAGTGTGGTTAATGGTCTTGGCTGGTGTATGAATGTAAGTCTTTTATAGTGATATGGTCTCTCTCTCTCTCTCTCTCTCTCTCTCTCAAAGTAAAGATTAAAGATACACAGAGATTGATATCAGACGCCTTGAGTAAACATGCACACACATACATACATACATACATACATACATACATACATACATACATACATACAAACATCAATTTTATTCGTCTTATGAATATATTGAATAGGAAGAATGATGATTGTCAGAAGTGAGGGTGGGAGAATGCATGTTTGACTGGGTGTGTAGTTGAGTATGTGTGTGTGTGTGTGTGTGTGTGTGTGTGTGTGTGTGTGTGTGTGTGTGTGTGTGTGTGTGTGTGTGTGTGTGTGTGTGTGTGTGTGTGTGTGTGTGTGTGTGTGTGTGTGTGTGTTGAACCCGTAGAGTTAATCAATGGTGCCACCCTCTACCCCCCCTCCCCTCTCCCTTACCTACCTTACCTGCTGATTGACACTACCTGCTGACTGACACTACCTGCTGACGGACATTACCTGATGGGTATCTTAGGTGGGTACCTCATGTGGGTACCTCAGGTGGGTATCTTGAATCAAACAATAAATTAAAATAAATCTCCTCTAATATTTACAGGTATAACAATTTTCAGGTATAACAATAACCTTCACAGCGTACGATCAACCATTTATATATCCTGTCGCCTCTCGTATGCATCCCCAGCGTTATAAATACTCAGTGCTGAATATGCAGATGAAAACTCTCTAAACGTAAGCCTTAAAACGTATGTAAAATTTTATTCCCATAATCTAAACCTGTCAGAATACATCAAATTGACCTGGTTTAACTCCAACACCGAAATAATATCATGCAAATTATCACAATGTTTTAGAATGACTAATTAATGAGGGGGGAGGGGGGGATTTTATGGAATTTTTATTTTTTTTTAAGAATGTGGATATTTTATGAGGTACTGAGGTGTTTGTCTTAGGTCCCGTGAGAGATGTGGGCAGGAGGAAACATTTATGGGATGTTTATTAAGTCTAGTGATGTTTTTGTTCACAGTTTCTTATATAAAAGTTTAAAACATCGGTTGATATTTGATTATAATGTTCATGTAAGTATAGCCTTGACTATGTTCCTTTTAACTTCTTTGTAAGAGGAATTATACACCACATAACACGGACATAACACGGACATAACACGGACATAATACGGACATAATACGGACATATCACGGACATATCACGGACATATCACGGACACATCACGGACATATCACGGACACATCACGGACACATCACGGATATAATACGGACATATCACGGACACATCACGGACATATCACGGACACATCACGGACATAATACGGACATATCACGGACACATCACGGTTACATCACCTACATGTGTTAGGAAAAGGTCACGGTGTAAATGGTAAAAAATATACATATACAAAGTCAGTTGATGGAATAACAGCGCAGCATTAAACAGCATACAACGTGTGGAAATATCTAGGGCAGAGGTCAAAGGTCAATTAGTTTACCACATCACAGGACTAAATCTAAATAAAGGTGAAGTCCCCCCACCCCCATCATGAAGGTGTTAAGGCAGCCTCTCGGTCTTCACGACACGTGGACCATCTTCCCGATTTTACTCTATTAGGGAGGAGGTGAGTTTATCATGATCAAGAGCGGGAGAGAGGCGAGCTAACGAGCACTCAGGGGAGATAGTGAGGGGGTGCAGGTAATCGCCCAGTGCTGACACAGGTAGTTTCATAGTGGTGGAGCCTCCTGTAGCAACCAACAAGGGCGTCTGGTGGGGCATGATGTGTCGAGGTACAGGCGCTGGTTATGATGGACGGCGGGGCGTGATGTGGCGAGGGACAGGCGCTGGTTATGATGGACGGCGGGGCGTGATGTGGCGAGGGACAGGCGTAATGTGGCCTGGGGGTCTGGTCTTGGAGGACACCTGTAAAGAAAACACCTGCTTGGGTAACACGATAACACCCGTGTGGATTAATTTGTGTTGGGGCAGGTGTATGTGGTGTTGTATATGCAGGTGTGGACAAGCTAGAGATTGTTGACAGATTCTGAGAGTTTGAAGAATTTCACTAATAACTATCATTACCACCCCCCACCCTTCTCCTCCTCCTACCACTTGCCACTCCTCCCATTCCCCCCTCCTACTCCTCCCACTCCTGCTCCTCCCACTCCCCCTCTCCTCCTACTCCCACCCACCGCCTCCTACTGCCACTCACCCCTTTTCTACTCCCATCTGCTACTAATCGCCCGGAGCTACATAAGTAATATCGGTTTTATTTTCCTCCTTATACCATCGTCGTCTTCAAACCTCTGCTCCCAGGAGGAAAAAGTGACTCTTATTCTCAATCTTTGTTTGTCCCGTCAAGTTGACCTGTGTTACGTCAGTCGCCTGCCACTACTCTGAGGAAAAAGAAAAGGAAAAAATGGAAAAAAAAGAAAGAAGGACAAATTGTAGAAAATTGATAAGAAGATGAATAGTAGAAACTGTGTTGGTTGATAAGAGGAGTTTAGCACGTACTGTATATTTGACTTTACCTAGATTGGGAAGTCACTAATTACAGGTTATTTTTTTCCTCTGATGATAAATTAAAGCGAGGTGAGTTATGACGTCATCTGTTGTGTGTGTGTGTGTGTGTGTGTGTGTGTGTAAATAATAATATAATAATATAATAATAATACTAACGGTTTATTGAAGAGCTTGGCAGTAGAAGGCTGAAAATATACAGTGTGTGTGTGTGTGTGTGTGTGTGTGTGTGTGTGTGTGTGTGTGTGTGTGTGTGTGTGTGTGTGTGTATCATTACTGTTAAATACTGTATAATTTCCGTCAATAAATCATAAGTTTTAGAATATGTTAATGTGTTTTTAAGTGATTATATTATCATTAATTATGGAGGCTAATTAAAGGTAAAAAAATATACATACCTGAGTATACATAGAGAGAATGGAGCCACACGTCTGCCATACCTGTATTCCACTTAATTCTCCTCCACCTTACACTCCATCCACCTCCCACACACAGCAGACACTTCCTCTACCTCGCTGCCGCCGCTCCACACAATATTGTTGAGCTTCAAGTCTCCCAACAAAAAGTTTACCTCTGTTGATGGGTGCTTTTGAGCCTTCCTCTCCCGCCCCCTCCTCCCCTCTTGCCTCCCTCTCGCCCCTCCACCCCGCCCTCACCTCCTCCGCCTCCCCCCCCTCCCCCTCAAACAACTCGCCTGCTGAGAATCATATATATTTTGTTATCCTCTGCTTCTCTTGTTCTGCGCTAGTCTTCATTTTCGTCTCCTTTCTTACAGTTATGCATAAACGTGAACTAGCTCTTTGTGTTAGGCCCGAAGGTGTGTTGGAACCAAACTGTTCCAGAATCTAGAAACATTTATCACCTTAGCAAAGACCATGTAGGTGTTCACTCGGTTCTTAACGAGGACACACGTTGCTTTACCGTCTTCCAAACTCTGCAGCACAGAAGGGTCGTGAAGACACCTATGATACTGTCCCCTCACACACACACACACACACATACACCCACTGTCACCTTACACACATACACCCACTGTCACCTTACACACATACACCCACTGTCACCTTACACACACACCCTGATGATATGTTTGCCCGAGGGACTCAACATGGGCTGGTGTAAAACGTGGACTACAGCAGGAAAGCTTTGCGTAATTTCTGTAGAGGAAATGTTGTGAAAATATTATCGTACCCGTATCCTCTTCGATGGGCGAGTCGCACACTGCCTCGCCACAGCAAATTATGAGGTGCTTTAGCCTGCGCTCCTGTGATGGTGCTTGTGGTGATGAACTGTGGTAGTGGTAATGAACTGGGGTAGTGGTGGTGATGAACTATGGTAGTGGTGGTGATGAACTATGGTAGTGGTGATGAACTGTGGTGGTGATGTTGAACTGAAGTGGTGATGAATTGGGGTGGTGATGAACTGGGGTGGTGGTGGTGATGAACTATGGTAGTGGTGATGAACTGTGGTAGTGGTGGTGATGAACTATGGTAGTGGTGATGAACTGTGGTAGTGGTGGTGATGAACTATGGTAGTGGTGATGAACTGTGGTGGTGATGATGAACTGAAGTGGTGATGAATTGGGGTGGTGATGAACTTGGGTGGTGATGAACTGTGGCAGTGGTGATGAACTGGGGTGGTGATAAACTGTGGTGGTGGTGGTGATGACCTGTGGAAGTGGTGATGAACTGTGATGGTCAGGAACTGTGAAGGTGGTGATGATGAACTGTGGTGGCGGTGGTGGTGATGAACTGTGGGGGTGATGAACTGCGGTAGTGATGAGGCTGAAGAGTTAGACATCTGATTGGCGGAAGACTTACCACTTAGACGTCACGGACCTCCTGGTTGGTGGAAAACTGATGAGTTAGACATCTGATTGGTGGAAGACTAGCCAGTTAGGCGTTACGGACCTCCTAATTGGTGGAAAATTGACCAGTTAGACGTCACGGACCTCCTGATTGGTCGAAAACTGATTATAATGATAATTGTTCCCGTTTATGTTTGTTTTAGTGATGTATTCTGTTACTCCTCTTCTACAGGTGTGTGAGGAGACAGGTGGTGTTGGTGCAGGTGGGTCTCTTGGCCTTGTTCGTGTTCTTGGCCCAACTTATCCGGCCAGACCAGTCTTCCTTCGGGCCATCTTCTTCAGGTCAGTCTTTCAGTGTCCGAGCCTCCTCCTTCCGTTCCTCCTCCTCCTCCTCCTCCTCCTCCTCCTCCTGCGACTCCTCTTCTTCCTCCTCCTCCTCAGTGTCTCAGGCCATCCTCTCTGCTCAGTATTACAACAAAACGTCTCAATTTTTTTCTACTTGTTGTCATTCAGGAGAGAATCACCGACTCCAAAGATCACTTCAGGAAAGGAGTCAAAGAATAACAAGAGGTTCTCATACAACAGAAGTGAACAACAGACCTTTGTCGAGATAGGGAACTATTTAGTCATCATCATCATCATCATCATCATCATCATCATCATCATCATCATCAGTGAAGTTTACCTGTTGATCCAGAGCCTCAATTGCAGAACAAAAACAAGAACCCTCAGTCATGTTTGTCTCAGATATGTCCTTGAATATATACCAGGTAGGTTAGGTTAAGTTAGGTTAGGTTAGCGAAGGAGAAAACGAAAAGAGAGAGAGAGAGAGAGAGAGAGAGAGAGAGAGAGAGAGAGAGAGAGAGAGAGAGCACAACACAGTACCCTAACATCTTTAAACTTGTATAATAACTCTCTTAGAACGGAAGAAATTATACAAACACTCACCTCACTTAACCTAACCTAACCACATCACTAGAGCCCCATCCCCTCGCTCTTCAACTTCCTCGGATATAGACAATTACTTATAAAAAAAAAACACAAGAAAAAAATTACGATTAGTTCTAACTTTCAGTAAATAACGAGACGAAGCTTGATGGAGCATGTAAACAAACTTGTGAGGTGATGTTTGTTTTTTGTTTTTTTCTTTTATTTTGTTTTTTATTTTTATTTCTTCAAGTACAATAACCATTTTTTGTTGTTCAAGAATGTAAGTCAACAAGGAAGAAGGTTTTTAACATATTTGAGTGAGAGTTCAATAATGCTTTGGTTGGAAGACTGATAAAGACTGAACAAGGTGTGGGTGTGCTTTAACACTCTTAAGACACTTGCGGCAAGATATAACCTGCAAGTGTGTATTAATATTCCCTCTCGTTAACCTTCAGGACCACAAACTAACTAACTATCTTACAGGACCGAAGGAGCGAAGTGAAGAATTGAGGAGAAGAGTGAAGGAGATTTGTAGCGTCTTCAACGTGTCCTCAGAGATCTCACCCCTCCAGTTACAACATATCTACGTCGACGACACCCGCAGGCTCCTCTACTGCAGCGCCCAGAAGGTAAGACGAAAGGAAGCTGTAGTATACCTCGTAGACGATACTAGGCAGCCCCGTTTACACCCAACCTTTATCACTCATATCCAACCAATATTTGAAGCTTCCCAACGTGTTTTTGCCTTCTTCACGCCTAAACCACTGCTCTTGTGCTCGCTATTGGTTTGGTAGCTGAAGTATTTTAGTTAAACCATTATTATGTGTTCGCTACGGGTTAGATAGCTTAATTATCTTAGTTATATCATCTTTATATAACTCCGACTTCAGTGTATACACCTCGATCATGTCGCCTCTCACTCTACGTTGCTCGGGAGAAGGTAAAATCAGATTTCATCCTCCATTGAATGTTTTCCAGGAAATTGATATCCATTGTATAGTACAGTGACCAACTCTGAGCCCCATAATGACGTCTGACCATCTGTTCACAGGTGGCCAGCAGCGCGTGGAAGAAGGTGTGGCTGAGGTTAACTAATCCATCATTTAATGTGTCTGGCATCATGTCCAACAGGTGAGGAAAAGTGCTTACACACACACACACACACACACAGACACACACACACACACACACAAACACACACAAACACACACACACACAGTAATACACGTCAAAACAAAGCATTATCCATTAATTCCAAACACATCGCTATTATTTAATATTTCCAGACTCAACATTCACCTCAAGACGCAGGAATACATGTTAATTCAGCCCAAGTTCGAGGACGTGTGGCCGGACATGCTGGCCTCGTACAGGAAGTTCCTCTTCATCCGTCACCCATTCCATCGAGTCGTTTCAGCCTACCGGGACAAGATGGAGGTGATAACTGAAGTGGAAGACCTTGGAATATCTCACTTTATGAAGAAGAAAATATCTGAGAAATTTGGGTATGTCTTTCTTTGTCTTAATTTATCTCTGAAGTGTCTTTCTCATGTTTGTGTGTCTGGCTCTCGTGTCTCTTGCATGTGTCTCACCCGTGTCTCACCCATGTCTCACCCATGTCTCACCTATGTCTCACCCATGTCTCAAACTATAAATCTTAAATGAAAATGTAAACACCTTGAAATCCGAAATGAAACTGGAAATACCGATTATCCGGCACCCATTAATCCGAAATACCGAAGAAAATCCCATTAATCTGAAATAACAACGAAAAAAATCCCTTAAATTCGAAATAACAATGAAAAAATCCTTTAAATCCCAAATAACAATGAAAAAAATCCTTTAAATCGGAAATGGGAGAAAAAAATACCGAAAATCCGAATTGCAACGAAAAATTCGGAAATAGAATACTGAAACTGTGGGGGAAAATTTATCACCTCTACGTTCACTAGATTAAAAAGAACAAACCTCCCCTTAAAGTGTATTGAGTGAGTCAGGAAGATAATTCACTCCTTAATCTCCAAACTTGATGATATATTAAGCAGTAACAGAGAAGGTATTTCCCCTGGTAGACAACAGTAACTGATGCCTCAAGTTGTGTGGTAGGTGGGAGAGAGAGAGAGAGAGAGAGAGAGAGAGAGAGAGAGAGAGAGAGAGAGAGAGAGAGTGTGTTTGGTCCAATCCACGAATCAATCACGTACCCACACACAAACACACACGTATACACAGACAAGTATATACGCTAACACACACACGTATACACTTACGCATATAAATAAAAATACATTCAGATATCCATAATCATATCAATACCTCTATTAATATTAGTGTATCTCTCACTCGTATGTCAAGGGTTCGTGTCCTGCTTGGCCCAGACACACGTGTGACCCCCAGTTACCAAACATCACATAATTTATTCATTATTATCCCACAGTAGTTCGTCAACAGATCCTGAAGGAGTCGTCAAGTTCGAGGAATTTGTAAGATTCATCAGCCATCAGGAAGAATACGAGGATATTCCCTGGGATGGCCACTGGCTTCCTGTCCACCAGGTGAGTCCAGGTGTTGACTCATCACCCAAAACGGAAGCAGTTAGAGATCTGAAACTTTACACATATATTACAGAGGTTTTAAGGTGTTACCATTGACCACGGACCATTCTAAGGTGCTACCATTGACCACGGACCATTCTAAGGTGTTACCATTGACCACGGACCATTCTAAGGTGTTACCATTGACCACGGACCATTCTAAGGTGTTAACATTGACCACGGAACCCCGGGTGGTCTGGACTGAGACATCACCACGGCGATTGCAGGAGATGGCTACCCGGATAAGGGAAGGCAAACTGTGATAGCCGGATAATTTTGCCATTAACGTAATATACATATTTATAATTTTATAAGCAAATTCCCATTAGTCTCCACACTGTCGTAGCAACACACAAGAGTCTCCAAATGCCTCTCAAGGAACTGAGGCAACAAAGCTCTACGTCATTTTCACTCCTCATATGAAGGATCTTTAGGTCTGACGCTCAGGTGACTCAGACATAAACAAAAAGTAAGACCCTCAGCTGACTACATAAACACTGGACTCGAGAGAATCACAGGATGGCCTCAATAAGCTAACGATATCGAGAGAAAAATGTCAAATGCAGTTTAATGATGAGAAATGTGGAACTGTTAGACTGATAAAGAAAATAGTGGACCTGGTTATGAGCTCAGGTTTAGGGGTAATGGTGAGTTGGGCCCTAACACCCAGACAGCATCTTGTTTATGGAAGTAATATGGGTAAGAGGGTTTACTGTACATCTAGGAGCATTAATGATAGGAGCAGTAGTGTGACTCTATCTACCGTTAGTGAGACATTAAGAAACCTGAATATGGATTATCTTGGATGACGTAGAGTGACCGATATTAGATATTTCATTTTATCTAGGAAGGAAATATGTAAACGTGGATTTTGATATCGAGTTGCAGATATGTGGAACAAGTTACCTAACAGTTTCCTTAATTCTTCCTCGTTGGAAAGTTTGTAATATAGGTTAGGCGGATATATAAGTAATAATGTTTGGGTATAAACAGGAGCTGCCTCACATGACCTAATATTCTAATGCAATTTCCTTTAGTCTTAAGTTATTATGCAATAAGTTCAACATTTTATACTCCAGATATGCAACCCGTGTGGCATCCAGTATGACTTCATCGGCAAGTTTGAGCAGCTGGACCAAGACTCGAGTTATATCTTTAAGTGGCTGGAGGTGGAGGAGGAGATGGGTCAGTTCCCCGTCCCTATGAAGACCACAGCCGCCTCCAGCCTCGCCTCCACCTACCTGCACAAACTCAATTCCACCCTCAGGAGGGCCTTCGTCAGCCGCTATATACTCGACTACCTCAGTTTTAACTACGACTTTGTATGAGGACGACCAGTACTGAGGCTGACGGCGGTGCTGAAGCATCACCGTTTAACCATAAGACAGATACAAGGTACTGGTGACCTGTAATCATAATTTATTGCAACCAGTTACACGTATTTAAATAATCGTAATCGATCACATTATTTGATTTGCGTTACATCGTAATTGATTACACTTCAAATGTAATCGTATTCACGATTGTTTTCGCAATTACATTTATTTATCCCCATTATATTTAACATGAAATGCCACACACTCCTGACGGGGCTCTTGTCATCTTGTACCAGGGTTAGTGAGCTCTTAGTCTGGTGCAGATAATCTACCTCAGTTACTACCTGAACCATCTACGTCAACATTTTAAAGGGAGAAGTGGGCAGGGAGGATAGGGAGAAGTGGGCAGGGAGGATAGGGAGAAGTGGGCAGGGAGGATAGGGAAGGTGTGGGGACAAACACGTGGCATCAAGTAGGGATGTGGTGGTGTGCTTAAACAGGGAGGGCGGCTGTCGCTGTCACTGGAGTCTGATAAACACCCTTCGTGACCTCTGCTCTGTTATCCTTTTTGCGCTACCGCTCACAGGATGCGTACGGGGTGCACAATAAACTAGCTGCTATCCGCAGCAAACTTCAAATTCAATTCCTTATTAACAACTTTTACCTTGGCAAATGTTATCTTCTTTTTCATATAACAACAAGACTCTCTAGATGAAGTTATTAGTAGTGTGCACGTGTTTGGGTACAGCCAGTGCACAAGAAGGAGTTGTGCACGCGTAAGGCTATGGTGAGTGCACGGTTGGGAATCTCAGGCATTTATCATGAATTCTGTTGGTGTACAGCAGAAGTGACGTGCACACATCAGAGTTACAGTTAGTGCACGACAGGGTTCACGTGCACATATCATGAGTAACAGCTAGTGCACGACAGGGTTCACGTGCACATATCATGAGTAACAGCTAGTGTTCACGTGCACATATCATGAGTAACAGCTAGTGCACGACAGGTTCACGTGCACATATCATGAGTAACAGCTAGTGCACGACAGGGTTCACGTGCACATATCATGAGTAACAGCTAGTGCACGACAGGGTTCACGTGCACATATCATGAGTAACAGCTAGTGCACGACAGAGTTCACGTGCACATATCATGAGTAACAGCTAGTGCACGACAGGGTTCACGTGCACATATCATGAGTAACAGCTAGTGCACGACAGGGTTCACGTGCACATATCATGAGTAACAGCTAGTGCACGACAGGGTTCACGTGCACATATCATGAGTAACAGCTAGTGCACGGTAAAAGGGCGTAGACTAGGTTTTGTCCAGGTGCCTCGTGCGTCATACAATAGTACAATACTGGCACAATATATTTCTCCTAATACTTTATTGTTGTTTTCAAGTCATGCGAGCGTCGACACACTGTAAACACAAGTCAGGCAGACGGGGAGGAACAGCTGCATGAGGTGGACAGGTGTTATTACTATTTTACGTCAAACCCTCTTTGTAGTTTTGTTCACATGCGGAAAAGGCAATTTGGTTTAGTCACGTGATCTCATTTTATAGCTATTGGTTGGTTATGATATTATGGTGTTAATGTGTGTGTGTGTGTGTGTGTGTGTGTGTGTGTGTGTGTGTGTGTGTGTGTGTGTGTGTGTGTGTGTAGGTACAGGTGTATGATTCGGGTAAATTACACTCTTCTAATTAACAACAAAAGTCACTGAAAAAAAAAGCATCAACACATTTTAAATAATAAATAAATAAATAAATGAATAAAATATACAAAAAAATCGACCAAAAATCGTCTCGTAAAACTACAATTGTCCGAACGTTCTTTTAAGAGTGGTGAAAAATGATCCGGATTGCTTCCCATAAAAGATTCAGCTGGGGGAAGAGAAGCCTCATACTGACAATAAAACACGTCTTCTCTTCTCTCACACGGTAATAAAACACGTCTTCTCTTCTCTCACACGGTAATAAAACACGTCTACTCTTCTCTCACACGGTAATAAAACACGACTTCTCTTCTCTCACACGGTAATAAAACACGTCTACTCTTCTCTCACACGGTAATAAAACACGTCTTCTCTTCTCTCACACGGTATTAAAACACGTCTTCTCTTCTCTCACACGGTAATAAAACGCGTCTTCTCTTCTCTCACACGGTAATAAAACACGTCTTCTCTTCTCTCACACGGTAATAAAACACGTCTTCTCTTCTCTCACACAGTATTAAAACACGTCTTCTCTTCTCTCACACGGTAATAAAACACGTCTACTCTTCTCTCACACGGTAATAAAACACGTCTTCTCTTCTCTCACACGGTATTAAAACACGTCTTCTCTTCTCTCACACGGTAATAAAACGCGTCTTCTCTTCTCTCACACGGTAATAAAACACGTCTTCTCTTCTCTCACACGGTAATAAAACACGTCTTCTCTTCTCTCACACGTAATAAAACACGTCTTCTCTTCTCTCACACGGTAATAAAACACGTCTACTCTTCTCTCACACGGTAATAAAACACGTCTTCTCTTCTCTCACACGGTCACGTCTCTCTCACGGTAATAAAACACGTCTTCTCTCACACGGTAATAAAACTTCTTCTCACACGGTAATAAAACACGCTTCTCTCTCACACGGTAATAAAACTCTTCTCTTCTCTCACACGGTAATAAAACACGTCTTCTCTTCTCTCACACGGTAATAAAACACGTCTTCTCTCACACGGTAATAAAACACGTCTTCTCTTCTCTCACACGGTAATAAAACACGTCTTCTCTTCTCTCACACGGTAATAAAACACGTCTACTCTTCTCTCACACGGTAATAAAACACGTCTACTCTTCTCTCACACGGTAATAAAACACGTCTTCTCTTCTCTCACACGGTATTAAAACACGTCTACTCTTCTCTCACACGGTAATAAAACACGTCTACTCTTCTCTCACACGGTATTAAAACACGTCTTCTCTTCTCTCTCACGGTAATAAAACACGTCTTCTCTTCTCTCACACGGTAATAAAACACGTCTTCTCTTCTCTTCTCTCACACGGTAATAAAACACGTCTTCTCTTCTCTCTCACGGTAATGGAACTTCCTCAACACAACAACGAACCCATCTGCCAAACTGATAGCAATGGAAGAAAGCTCACTATCACCTTATCTGCCAAACTGATAACGAGACATAAATCAACACTACAAGACATAAACCAACACAGTATAATGGTACCAGGAAGACGGTGGTACTTTCCATTCAGTGATACCAAGAAGGAAATATTTCTCTACACTGTTACCAGACAAGAGTTGATCCCTAGCTACAGTGACATAAAATGGCCCAACAGATCCTACCTCTCTCCTCTCTCTCTCTCCTCTCCCCTCTCTCCCTCCATCCCCTCTCCAACCCCTCCCTCCCGATCTATCACGACAGAAGAGTTTTGATGGCGAGAGAATTTAAGGAAAAATATATGTCCATAAACACCATCGACTGTATAGCTACTAGGCCTACAAACAATATATAGGCCTACAAACAAGAACTAGAGGCCTACAGCGTGTTTATAAAGTCCGTGTGTACATTTTTTAACATCAATAATTTTGTATGTATTTATGTAGTAATTATGCTAAAACTATATTAAATCTATCTTTAATCTGTTATATATATATTATTTGTCTTATATCAACATAGAGAGTTATTAAAGTTTAAAAGTGGGCCACAGGGACTTTATAAACAGCCTGGAAAGAAGTAAGCAGCTTTGAGTAACGTAATGGAGTGTGTTGTTGTAAGAGCTGGCAGACGTGATGCAATTGGTAGAGTCTTCCCCTTTATACCGATCCAGGAAACACGTCACAGTCTAAACTAGTCCCGATACTTTGTTATATTTTTCCTACATTGTGTACTTTATTTTCATCATATTGCTGTATTTTCATCATATAACTGTATTTTCATCATATTTAACATCATCTTATGGTCTTGTTCGTCTTGGTGATAATACAGTAAAGACGACACAACTCCTGTCTTCTCGTTCCTCAAAGACATCGTCCCCTGTATGTCGTTTAACTCGGTCGTTTCTGTGTCTCACGAAACACCTGCTGACTCACGAAACAAATTTCTCTTGTCAAAACTTTGTAGAACTTTTCCCCAGAACGTGGCGAGCACAGCTGTGGCGAGGGACTTGGGGATATCTTTTCACACAGTGTTCCCGACGTGGAATTATTAAGGAGTTTATTAGTAAAGATGATGAAGTCAGACGCTGCAGTAACGCTGGGAGGAAGGTGTACAGTTAAGATGATGATGTCAGACGCTGCAGTAACGCTGGGAGGAAGATGTACAGTTAAGATGATGATGTCAGACGCTGCAGTAACGCTGGGAGGAAGGTGTGCAGTGATGATGATGTTGTCAGACGCTGCAGTAACGCTGGGAGGAAGGTGTACAGTTAAGATGATGATGTCAGACGCTGCAGTAACGCTGGGAGGAAAAGATGTGCAGTAAAGATGATGTTGTCAGACGCTGCAGTAACGCTGGGAGGAAGATGTGCAGTAAAGATGATGTTGTCAGACGCTGCAGTAACGCTGGGAGGAAGGTGTACAGTGATGATGATGTCAGACGCTGCAGTAACGCTGGGAGGAAGATGTGCAGTAAAGATGATGTTGTCAGACGCTGCAGTAACGCTGAGAGGGAAGATGTGCAGTAGAGCAAATGGCCGCGATCACAGCCTTCCACCTGGTTTCTCCCAAGCGAGATACAGATTACCTGTTTCTTTTTCCACTCTCAAAGTAGCCAACCTCTCACGGCTGCCGCTGAGAAGAAAACGTTCAGGCAATTTACACAGCTAAAACAGTGGTTCTTTTAAGGCAACATTCTACACTATAAACGCCAACAGAATTCAGAGTATGAGAAGAACAGTGCAGTGTAACCTGTAAAGCTTGCTGCAGGTTCTTCTACAGCCTGCACCAATAATATGATGGTGGCTGTTTCTGTCTCGCACACACACACACACGCTGGTAAAGTTTCACATATAAGTTTCTACTTCTCTTGCCAGCTGCCTCGGTGACAAACAATAAACAAGGAGTTGAAAATAAGCTCTTTTACTCTTGCTCTAAGTTACAACCTCCGTGTGTGTGTGTGTGTGTGTGTGTCTGTGTGTGTGTGTGTCGGCTTCCATTACCCGCTCAACACGACTCTAGGTAGGGTTGGGGTTTTCTGAATTTCAGTGAGCCAATCAGGTAGGCTGTCTCGTCTCACTGAACCAATAAGATGGGCTGTCTCACCTCACCAAACCAATCAGGTGGATTCTTTCATCTCCAATTAGGTGGAAAACTGACCGAACATACATACCTTTGGGTCTCTCAGCTTCTGAATACCGAATGTTTATAATTAACTTACGTGACCATTAACCTCAAGTGGTATTTTTAGCAGCAAGGTGGAAAAATAGTAATAATTTCTTCCCATAAATGTTACAGGTAAATACAGGTAGGTTCTCTCCTTAATTAGAGACGTGTTCAGGATATTGAGGCTTTAAAATTACACTTAACTAAATTCCGTGACCTTAACTGACTCTCTGGGTTAACTGCGTCAGGATTAATGATAAGTTTTTCTCTCTGTTGAAATTGAAAACAAATTGTGTCCGTCTATCTGGTGTTAGTGATATCAAAATTACTGTCACCTCACCTCACACCTGGAGGGTGGGTGGGTAGGCGACACCTGTGATCGCCTGTATTAACCACCACTCCTCCACCTTATAATCTCATGTCAGTGGTGATAACACTTGTCTTATTGTGATATAATACCTGTTATTTCACGTGTACAACCTCTCATCTTGATAGTTCCTTGGAATTTTTTTTTACATTTTAAACGACTGACTAGACGCGGATGTGTGCTTTAGTGAGTGTTTTGGTATAGGCTACTGGCAATACCTGTTTTAGATTGTCCATTGGGCTCAGACAGACGGACAGACAGACAGACAGACACAGACAGACAGACAAACAGACAGACAGACAGACAATAAGATGAGTGTCATAATATAGTGGAAGATTAACTACTTGACTAAAGCGATGGTTTAATTTAATCTATAGTGATTTTCTGTTTAATTATTCGCACCTTTGAAGTTTGTAACACACCTGTATATTGTACATCGCTCTTACCACACCTCACACCTGTATCTCACTTACCACACCTGTACCTCACACATCACTCTTACCACACCTCACACCTGTGTCTCACTTACCACACCTGTACCTCACACATCACTCTTACCACACCTCACACCTGTATCTCACTTACCACACCTCACTTACCACACCTCACACCTGTATCTCACTTACCACACCTGTACCTCACCTCACTTACCACCTCCACCTGTATCTCACTTACCACACCTCCCTCACTTACCACCTCCCACACCTGTATCTCACTTACCACACCTCACACCTCACTTACCACCTCACACCTGTATCTCACTTACCACACCTGTACTCACACCTCCTTACCACACCTCACACCTGTATCTCACCATGCCTCACCTCACTTACCACCTCACACCTGTATCTCACTTACCACACCTCACTTACCACACCTCATTCACCACACCTGTACCTCACTCACCACACCATACTACACTTCACTCACCACACTACACCTCACTCACTACAGTACACCTAACTCACAACACCACACCATACTACACCTCACTCACCACACCTCACCACAGGGACCAGTGAGTCGGCCACTACCAAAATAACCATTCAAGATTAATTCGCTTTATGGATCATTAATTCAATTTATGCTTCAATTTTCCCAGCGGCATTAGTATGGACCCGATAGTTAGATTAACAGTAATTAAATAAAAAGATCGTTTAATCACCTAATATTGAAACCAACAAGGAGAATTAATCAGACAGGTAAAAGCATCGGTCACACGCGGGAGTATCAATGTTTACGGACATATAGCGATAACTAACACGGTCTAGTTGAGTTCTGGGATGGATTTCGCAACAATATTGGACGACCGATGATGAGTGTTCGTCCTCCTGGTGACCGATGACCTTGTCTGGCTCACAGGTGGCGCCACTCTACCACCTGTTGTGACGAGCGCAGTTTGCCGGTGATGATTGGACAACGGGTGCTGTTACTCCTACAGTTTTGTCTCGTTGTAGCGTCACTCTCGCTGTGGACGCCTGGGGTTCACTGATGTGGGTTTGTGTCTGTTGAATCACACACACACACACACACGACTGCTCCCCTGAGACCTCCAGAACTTTATGGCCGCTCTCTCAATCTGGTACGACAGATTTATTCCCTCCAGAAACAACCTTACGACCACATCCAACCACTGGGAACCGAGTCACTAACGTGTTACTCCACAGCTGTTACTTCTGGGTCACTCAAGTAACACACACACACACACCAGAGAGTTTTGTCACCCCTGCTATGAGGCTCCTGGGGTGACCAACAGGTGTGTGTATATCAGTTGATTGTACAGGTAACAGACTACCCTGGCAAGGGTGTACTGTACCTGTGTTATAGGGAACCCCAGCAGGCAGGTTCTCCAGCAGGCAGGTCCTCCAGCAGGCAGGTCCTCCAGCAGTCCTCCAGCAGGCAGGTCCTCCAGCAGGCAGGTCCTCCAGCAGGAGGTCCTCCACCAGGCAGGTCCTCCAGCAGGCAGGTCCTCCAGCAGGCAGGTCCTCCAGCAGGCAGCAGGCAGGTCCTCCAGCAGGCAGGTCCTCAGCAGGCAGGTCCTCCAGCAGGCAGGTCCTCCAGCAGGCAGGTCCTCCAGCAGGCAGGTCCTCCAGCAGGCAGGTCCTCCAGCAGGCAGGTTCTCCAGCAGGCAGGTCCTCCAGCAGGCAGGTCACCAATCGACAAGTTTGAGAACAGAATTCAGAGAAGTGGAAACTGTCGCCATCAAAGACGACGGTCGAGTTTTTCTCCCAAAAGACTCAAGAAGTTACTGAGCCATTGATGACATGGCTCACCTGCCCTGCCCTTGACCACTCAGGTGTGTTGATATAAACAAGGCCTTATTAACCCTCTCTCTCTCTCTCTCTCTCTCTCTCTCTCTCTCTCTCTCTCTCTCTCTCTCTCTCTCTCTCTCTCTCTCTCTCTCTCCATTCTCCATTTCCCATTAACTATTCAATGGACCTATAATATTCTACACCATTTATTATCTTGTGTGTAATATTTCTGTGTGTTTTCATGTCAATAAAAATTTACCGTAGTCAAGGGTAAAAATTCTTCCCTTACCACGTCTCTCTCCTCTACCCCAGGGAAAGTAAACCAAAAACTTATTCACATTATTTCCACTATGATATAAATAATCAATACATTAAACAATACATAGACATATAAATATACATAGACATATAAAGATAGACATAGATTATAGAACATCAATGGAATAGGTTTTAGTTATATAATTCCTGGTTATGAAGCTGAGGTATTACATCTGTCACAAACTATGATCGAATTCAGGTAAATGTGTCAGTCTTTCTTGCCCATCCAGGGACAGACGCTTGGGAAAGATGGCACCAATCTCATGGTTGGATGGTTAGCATCGAATGACAGACAGCTAGGACAACCACTCGTAGACAGGAGCATCACTAGGACAGACAGCTAGGACTACCACTCGTAGACAGGAGCATCACTAGGACAGACAGCTAGGACAACCACTCGTAGACAGGAGCATCACTAGGACAGACAGCTAGGACAACCACTCGTAGACAGGAGCATCACTAGGACAGACAGCTAGGACAACCACTCGTAGACAGGAGCATCACTAGGACAGACAGCTAGGACAACCACTCGTAGACAGGAGCATCACTAAGACAGACAGCTAGGACAACCACTCGTAGACAGGAGCATCACTAAGACAGACAGCTAGGACAACCACTCGTAGACAGGAGCATCTAGGACAGACAGCTAGGACAACCACTCGTAGACAGGAGCATCACTAGGACAGACAGCTAGGACAACCACTCGTAGACAGGAGCATCACTAGGACAGACAGCTAGGACAACCACTCGTAGACAGGAGCATCACTAGGACAGACAGCTAGGACAACCACTCGTAGACAGGAGCATCACTAGGACAGACAGCTAGGACAACCACTCGTAGACAGGAGCATCACTAGGACAGACAGCTAGGACAACCACTCGTAGACAGGAGCATCACTAGGACAGACAGCTAGGATAACCACTGTAGACAGGAGCATCACTAGAACAGACAGCTAGACAACCACTCGTAGACAGGAGCATCACTAGGACAGACAGCTAGGACAACCACTCGTAGACAGGAGCATCACTAGACAGACAGCTAGGACAGCATCACTAGGACAGACAGCTAGGACAACCACTCGTAGACAGGAGCATCACTAGGACAGACAGCTAGGACAACCACTCGTAGACAGGAGCATCACTAGGACAGACAGCTAGGACAACCACTCGTAGACAGGAGCATCACTAGGACAGACAGCTAGGACAACCACTCGTAGACAGGAGCATCACTAGGACAGACAGACAGCTAGGATAGACAGACAGCTAGGACAACCACTCATAGACAGGAGGTGGAGGGTAATCCAGAAGTAACAGGAGACGGGTGACCCTCCTGACGACAGTGGACATGATAATCTTCTCCTGGGTGGTGAAGGGATCGAAGTCTTTGTTGCTGGAGCGTTTGAAGGGTCCAGTCAGGTGTGAGGAGACGCAGGCCAGCCGATCCTCGTTCACTGGTACCCTGCGGAGTATGGTGTCATTATAGTGGTGAAGTACAGTGCTACCATGGGGAGTATGGTGTCATTATAGTGGTGAAGTACAGTGCTACCATGGGGAGTATGGTGTCATTATAGTGGTGAAGTACAGTGCTACCATGGGGAGTATGGTGTCATTATAGTGGTGAAGTACAGTGCTACCATGGGGAGTATGGTGTCATTATAGTGGTGAAGTACAGTGCTACCTAGGGAGTATGGTGTGATTACTTTAGTGAAATACAATGGTACCTTGGGAGTATGGTGTGATTACTACAGTGAAATAACAATGGTACCTAAGGATTATCATTACCACTACAGTGAATCATAACTTCATACAATAATAATAATTGTTATCACTCACCTTGGTGGTATCTGTGTGTATAGAGACATCAGCAGTATTTCTATATGTGTAAATGTCAAGATAACTTATAACCCGACCACCAGGTGACCTTTTAAATCCGTGTATATATTAACCATTAGCTTCCCTTAGGGCTGTTATGATTTTAAGGTCAAAAGGTTGAAAATTAAGGTCATATTGGTTAGAATTGTGCCTCCTTATGTTATGTTTGTAGTATTCGAATATAGGGTTGTGAATTATGGTGCTTAGAAACAGTGTTGTAGTGGTGCTGTAGCGTCTGACGTAGTAGTGTTGTTGTAGTCCTGTAGTCCCTAAGTATAGCAGCAGTAGCCTTGGGGAGACGTAGGAAGATTGACAAGCACAAGTGTTGTGGCATTTGTGAGAGGAAATTGTAATCTAGTGAGGAAATGCAGCGATATTTGTCTGATTTACACTACAATGAGACGCCGCAGTGGGTGCCTTTACCTGAGGAAGTGGAGGAGGTGGTGGATGCTTTTACCTGAGGAAGTGGAGGAGGTGGTGGATGCTTTTACCTGAGGAAGTGGAGGAGGTGGTGGATGCTTTTACCTGAGGAAGTGAAGGAGGTGGTGGTGGGTGCTTTTACCTGAGGAAGTGGAGGAGGTGACGAAGATGGTGGGTGGTGTTGTGCAGCAGGTGTTCGTAGTGCAGCACATACAGAGGTCCTGAGCTCCATAACAGCCTGTCTGTCGCGATCACCTCCCAGTGTGAAACATAAGTCTCAACGAAATCATGGAAATCTGAAGGTAAAATATAGGTTAGGTTAGGTTAGGTGTGGCTAATATTCATCTGATTCCTGACTTTTGGAATTATCTCAAGTAATTAAAGTCAGGTGGACAGTAAGTTGTATCTCACCTTTGCTGAGGAACTGTTCGGGCGGGAGGTCACCTGTGTGTCCACCTCTGTCCTGAAGAATGAGTAGCTTCCAGTAGGAGATGATTGCTCTGTGTAGGTGGTGGTGAGTGGGAAGTGGTGGAGTCATACTTATAACCTAACCTAACCTAACCTAACCCACCCCCCACCCCCCAAAAAAAATCCCCAGAATGGTTTACATAATCAGTGGTGAAGGAACGTGTTAAGGTGTTGTGCCTAAGTGAAATTAATTAACATTCTCTCTCCAGTGGTTCAGGTATGTTTTGTTACTAGTTAATTACAACACTGAGTTAATTAGCCTTGAAGATTAAGCATCTACAGGTGGTTTGCCATCTCCTTGTGTTGCAGGTAATGGAGTGTTAACTGTATCTTAACTGGTATTAAGTAACTGTTAATTCCTAGTTACATTGTAGATCAGATTTAACTATTGTACTTCATTTTATCTTGAATATTATCAACAGGAATGAATTAACATAAGATAATCATATGTAAACGGGTATTTAACTTTGCTGTTGAGGAAGTGAGAGCAATCAAGTACAGTGCCGGCCATGCTCTCTCTCTCTCTCTCTCTCACCTAGCAGGGTTACGAAGCAGCAGTATGGTAGGTAGGCGGTGGTCGAAGAAGGAGTGGCGAATCAGGAGGTCGTAAGGATATGTTGTCTTCATCATAGCGCCGTGGATCTTCTGCACCAACGTCCTCCCACTGTCTACCTTCTCCTCCTCCCCCAGCATCCCTGAAGGAGTGAGTGAGTTAATGGAGGAGAGGAGGTAAAGGTAGAAGTAGAATACAACCTTTAGTAGTAGTAGTAGTAGTAGTAGTAGTAGTAGTAGTATAATAGTGACCCACTCACCGGACTTATAGAGAAAATCGTCGTTGTAGAAAGACCCTGTGAAGATCCCCGTCACCGCCTCCAGCAGGTAGCGTGTCCAGGTGTTGCCAGAGCAGGGGAAGGACACCAGCCACACGCGAGCCATGCCACCACCCAACCTGTCAAGTGGTTGTGTTGGTCTCCTCGTGTTATTAATGGGTCCCAGAGTTGGTAGACCATGACGTAATGGGTCCCAGTGCTGGTAGACCATGGCGTAATGGGTCCCAGTGCTGGTAGACCATGACGTAATGGGTCCCAGTGCTGGTAGACCATGACGTAATGGGTCCCAGTGCTGGTAGACCATGACGTAATGGGTCCCAGTGCTGGTAGACCATGGCGTAATGGGTCCCAGTGCTGGTAGACCATGGCGTAATGGGTCCCAGTGCTGGTTGACCATGACGTAATGGGTCCCAGTGCTGGTAGACCGTCATGAAAGGTCACATAAAGAGTCAGGGGGTCGCTGGGGTCTTTACAAGGGTCATGGTCATTTTTCTTCGACAGGTGACAAAGGAAAACAACAGTGCGGTGCGTGTGAAGTCAGGTTAGGTCAGAGGATGAAGGCGATCATTTTTCTGAGGCCAGGCGACAAAGGTCAGTGGTTATAACTGTCAACTATGTCAGGGCGAGGGACCTGAATTGCTGCAGCGAACACCAGACATTACTGATGAACACCGTTGTTAGATGACTTTCTCGGGAAAAAAGTCTGGGAAGGAATTTCTTTCTTTGCAATACGTAAAACAATTTCCTGTAAGACGAGAGTGAGTGATCGTTACTTCCCCGTTTACCTGGCACTTCTGACAGACGTATTTGAGCAACTTAACAAACTCATTACTGGGTGCTTGACCTTCAGTGTTCCATAAAGCCTTTGTCAGCAAGTTACAGATACTTCGATGCCAAACTCAAGCTGGTAATTTATTTCTAATTTCCTCATTACAGTATTTACAGCAGACAGGTACGACAAACTTAAACTTTTTTGGACACAGTGAATTTAATGAGGAGGAGGAGTTACCAAACCCTGAGCTGTTTACTGAGTCTTTTGTTTATTTATAACTCACCATTAAGTCTGATACAAAAAAATGAGATCTTTTGGTCTTATAACGACAGACCTTGACTGACCTGGTCTCATAGTTGACACACGGGCTCCCTGGGTCATCCTCTCGCCACGGCTGCCATGATGGTCCTGTCATGTTCACCCTTAAATTGTCACCTGTAAAGTTATTGTTATGTAGTTAGATCTAATTTACTAGCATGTAAATAAAGCCTACAAAAGAGAGAGAGAGAGAAAGGAAATGAGTGAGAGACGGGGGGGGGGGTTGAATAGCGAGGTGTTTACTCTTGTATTGATATATCCGTATTAGTATAATTGACGAGTATATGTCAGTAACATGGAGTACTGCAAGACACACGACAGACATACCCGCTCTCCTCACGACCCGTTGGTGTAGCGCTCCTGTGAGGACGTCCCCTTCCTGCCCCCGACCCTCACACCTGCCTGGTGAGAACACTTGAAGGAGTGGTGAGTCACATGGCAGCCTACTGAGGTAATGTATAAGGTATATAACTTGCTGTAACTATTATAACATACAATATAACCACTGTACTATAGTGCGGGGGTGTTATAGTGTACAGTGTTGTAGTACAGTGAAGTATAAAGGTATGTGTAGATTGTTACAAGCCATTGTCTGCTGGTCACAGCTTATAGTGAGACCCAAGGTATTCGACCTGTGTTGTCCCCGCGGGTCAGACGGACTCGGCTGACAGGCCAGCAATCAAAACCCGCACCACACTCATTATTATTCACACAGTTCCGAGAAAGTCCTGCGGCAACAGTCGAGTGGTAGCTTGGGAAGACGGAGATGACAGCTGTAGTAACCTGGTCCTGTTTGCGTGACTCCTCAAGCATATTCAGGAGCCATTGTGCTCACCCGCATAAAGAGAAGACGAGACAAGTGGCCTAAAAGTAACCTGTCTACTACTGTCCTACTTCTGGCCCAGTAAGGTCATCTCTTATATGAGTGTCGGGTCACTGAGTCAGGCGAGCGTCCCTTGTACCGAAAGATCTGTCTACTGTAGGTATAACTGTCACTACAGCAGCCTCGTGTCCAACTTTCTAGACGAGAACCAACTCACACGACAGGTAGCCACACAACTCGATCTTATTCACGTGTCGGCTTTACCATTCACCACACCATCTCATACCAACTGGCTGTCGGGTTCAATGAGCTCTTTTATGTTGACCTTGACAAAACACTAAACTCAGCCCTAAAGAAGACAAGGTTTGCTCCTCGGTAACTTCCATGCAATTACAGCTCCAACTACCTACTCTCCCCCAACAAATGTTAGGGACCACGTAATCTACACACAGTGGGAACAGCTGACCTGCATGAGGGTGATGGTCGTGTACAGAAGGCCTGCTGGACACTGTGTGGGTGGAGTCATTGCATGGCGAAGGGGAACACCCAAACGGCAGCTCCTGAAGGTAGTGTTGCAGCCTGTTGGAGGACGTGCAGTGTTGTATGCTGAAGGTTCCTCGTATGTCTAGTGTATTATGCCCAAGAATATACTGATAATACTGGTTAGGTTAGGTAAGGTATATGACACATGTTTTACTTACATTAGCACACAAAAGAAGGTAGTGGCTAGCAACACATTCCCTCTATCCACCGCCATCTTGCTTTTCCTACCGTGATCCAATGCATACGAACAGTGAAGTTTACCTTTTGTGAATATTAAGTGAACATTACTTATAGTGAACATAAGTGAACATTAATTGAACATTACGTATAGTAAACATTAAGTGAACATTACCTATAATGAACATAAGTGAACATAATTATATCCATTAAGTAGTTACGAGTTTGTTAATTATAAGAACTCCACTTGTAAATTAATTAACTATATAAGCACACAAGTTATAAACGTGTTGATCATTAAGACGTCTGTACTACCATAACACTGAGGAGACATTACCGCTGTATTGATCGTTACTGTCCACCAGCAGCTCGTCTCATTTAACCCTCACGTAAGGACAAACAAATAGACAGTAAAGGGGGGGGGGAGGCTTTACTCAGCTTAACATTGAGTTTTATGATGAGTTTCGTCCTGTTACCTCCCAGTACTTTGATCAGTGTTAATATTATAAAGTAATGTGGACAGTAATGGCTAAATCTCACCTCCAGCAGTACTACCCAAAGTACTGCACTACCCCAGCACTCACAACTACTTGTAGACTAAGCCGCCAACTGTCGCAGCTTAAAGGAAATGAAGTATATATTCTTTTCTTTTCCTTTAGAAAAATAATTGTAGTTTGACAGACATTTCCTCGCCAACTGGCTGCCTGTCCACCGGGCTCCTTCTGTCAACCCCCCGCAGTCCAGGAAAATCTTATCTTTTTCCTCCTTTATGAGACTCTCTGTTTTGTCACTTCCTTCCCTCTTAAGCTCTTGGCGACTCTCCATATAATTTTAGGATTAATAAAAAAATATCTACAACACAGATGAAAACATTATTAAGATTTATGGTCATATTCATTAACTCTTCTCTAAGATTTAATTTCTGGATGAAACAGTTTATGATACAGTAATAAGGAAAGAACGTCCTAAACCCGGCTGTTGCCACTACAGAGCCCCGAGTTATTGTAAGTGAGGAGGGATGTAATGACTGGTTCTCTCGGTACTCTCTCTCTCTCTCTCTCTCTCGAGCTCTCTCTCTCTCGAGCTCTCTCTCTCTCTCGAGCTCCAGGCCTAATCGGCACCACTTCTGATTTACTTTAACCTTTTTTTTCCCATTTCTGTATTTATTTTGGGTTCAATTTATTTATTTTTTGCCCCCTTTAGGCCCCGTTGTTGCTCTGTGACCTGTACTTGGGTGGGCTAATCCCCGTAAACCAAAAAAATCTGTCTTAATCGTCTCCAGTTTTACGAAGTTGTCAAGGAATCCTTCACACTTGGTACGACAGGCAGTAGTTATGCAAGGACAAAGAGTACGATATTTGGCACTGGTGTAGGTGTGAGACAGGCAGGGAGGAAGAAATCAAGAGACGTGTGTGTGTGTGTGTGTGTGTGTGTGTGTGTGTGTGTGTGTGTGTGTGTGTGTTATAGTTATAGTCGATATATACCTGAATATAAATTTAACCAAACTATATCTCGGTGGTTAACAGGTAGAAGCTTGATAATTAGCTCTCCAGGTATGTGTGTAATAAGCCCCACTCCTAATAAGCCTGAATCCTAATAGGCCTCAATAATAGTGTCTTAATCCCAATAGTCCCTCATGGTAATAAGACCTAGTCGTAACTTAATGTAGCAACTTAAGATTAGGGCCCATTAGGATTGTAGTCTTTTTGTACATGAGGCCCAGTCGACCAGGCAGCTGAACGAAGGAACAAAAATTATCCAAAGTGTACAGGTTACCACAACCATCACTTGTTGCCATATTCCATTCATTATTAATTAGCTGTAAACTGTCTTAAATCTGTAATTATAAACAGGAGGACACAGGAGAACTCTTGAACATACAGTTGTTGTGGTAAAGCTTGTGTTTGTGTGTGCGTGTCTGCTGTGTGGTAGGTGGGAGAGGAGAGGCAGATAAGTCCTCCTGTTTGTATTCAGGGGTGCGCCTCTCAGGGCATCTTGCGGACGTGACACCGAGAACAAATAGAAATAGATTTCCCAGAAACTTTTGGATCGTAGATGTAATTCTTTTTACTAAATCTTTTTCTTCTGTATTATAGGAGAAATTTTATCCCCGTGTAGTTGTATTGGTGACGAGGCAACGAGCTGGTAGGATTTTGTTTCGTGTTTTTCCTCGAAGCCAAATGGAAGACGCTTGCAAATCATTAAAGAGTGTAGTCTAACGCTGAAGAAACGTTAGGGGGAAAATCATCTCAAAAACCCGAGTTACGTTCGACCCATACACCTCACCCTGAGTCCTTTTAGCCAGTCCAGTTGTGGTGTTGACGCTGAAAGGTCTAGAGCGTATCCGATAAGACAGAAGGTGTTGAGCAGAAGGTGTGGAGCAGCAGGTGTGTGGCGGCAGGTGTGTGGTGACTCATGGGACGAATGCTAAAGAAAACCTCCAGGGGGGCGCTGACGGTGATGGCTACCTTCTGCCTCCTGAACCTCATGTAAGTCTTAAAGATTATAACAAGTGATTGGTATAATGGCCCCAATCCTAATCTTAATCTTTATCCTAATCCTTAATCTATTCCAATCTTAACAGTTCCCAATCAAAGTGGCCGCCTCATTCCTAATCGGTCTCAGGCCTGATGATCCAAAATTCTAATCGGTTCCATTCCTAGTGGTTTCCAATCCTTTATGATTAAATTATTCTTGGTTGGATTTGGTTTTATTAGGCAGGGGGATAAATATAATAATTTAAAGGAAGGAGACGGATATAATTAGAGAAAGGAGGAGGAGAAGGAGGAGAAGGAGGAGGAGGAGGAGGAAGAGGAGGAGGAGGAGGAGGAAGAGGATAAAGATAAAAACGCTAAATATTGTGAGAATAACTTACAGCTGGGGAGAGACCTGGGGCATAATGATGTATGGATGTGACCTGACATGTGTGAACAAGGACCTGTGACCTGGAGCGTAATCTGGGATGTGTGACCTGTGGATATGACCTGAGATGTGTGACCTGCTAATAGTTGCTTTCCTGGAACTTACTGTATAAATTTTCAAGTCGTAATGATAATTAATTCCTAGAACCGAAGCTAATTTACCTTTTTAAGAACAATGTCACTGTGTGTGTGTGTGTGTGTGTGTGTGTATACCAAGATTATTGCACCTAATACATTTCCTTCGTCAGCAGCTCCACTCCACAGCATCAGCCTCCTGCAGGTTAGTGCTGTGTTCCGTCTTGCACGTTAGGCCTCCTGAGTCCCACACCTGTACCTGTAACACCTGTAATTAGACCCATAACCCAGTGTACTATTCCATCGTCTCATACACCTGGAGGTAAGGTGTATATCTTAATAATTGTAATATTTATATGTACGTCAAGTGTGTGTGTGTGTGTGTGTGTGTGTGTGTGTGTGTGTGCGTGTGTGTGTGTGTGTGTGTGTGTGTGTGTGTGTTTCTTCATATTTAGTTGTTTTTGCATTTTATGTATACTGCATGTACCTTTATATATATATATATATATATATATATATATATATATATATATATATATATATATATATATATATATATATATATATATATATATATATACACAAATACACGTACACACACACACTATCCTGACCACCAGAGGGTCAAGACCTATTCAGGCGCTGCTCCGGCTGCGCAGCTGCCCCCCCGCCCCCTTTTGTCCATGTCGGCCCATTCCCCAAGTCCCTCTCCCCGACCATCCTCACCACCGGGATATCAACAGAATCAGAAGTGACAATTTCGTTTCGGAAAGAAGTGGGATCAGTGATGAACAGTGTTTAAGCCAGTGAATTCAGCACCAGACAGTACCAGCAAGAGCCGTGACCCATCACTGAGATAAGCACCCCTGGGAACCATCCTCTGACCAGATGGTGTTAATCCATCAACACTGGGAACAACAGCTGGCCGGATATGCACCTGACTACAAGATAACACAACATCACCGAGCAGAGTGAGGTCCTGTGACACCACACCACCCGGTGTCCCCATTACCACGTGAGGTCCTTCATATCAACACCCGAGGACGAGTTACTACACCACGTGAACACCACACCACCTGGTGTCATAAGAACATAAGAACATAAGAATGGAGGAAACTGCAGCGGGCCTATTGGCCCATACTGGGCAGTCCCGTTTACACCCAACCCCTATTGCTCATATAAGCATCCAACCTATGTTTGAAGCTATTCAGCGTATTCGAGTTAATGATGATATTTGGTAACTTGTTCCATTCATCCAGCCCAGGCCCGGGCCATCAACTGTAAACTCTAATAATTTGTATGTTCTATTCATGTTCTTTCTTCTTTTAATAATGAAAGCTTTTATTAAACGACCCATATAATAAGTCAATTTTCCCAATGAATATTTTCAGCCTTCGGGCTGTAGAACTTTCTCAATAAACCGTTAATTATTATTATTATTATTATTATTATTATTATTATTATTATTATTATTATTATTATTACACACACACACACACACATACTCATCACTGTGTCTCGTGTGGCAGAGGATGAGTGTGGCGGAGGAGAACAGAGGCGGGAAAGGCAGGAACTACTGGACAAACTACACGGCCGAGTGGAGCGTCTGCCTGGTGAGTACATATGGGCACCTGTCCTAATAGTGCGTTTGATCTTGACCTTTGACCTTTTGATTTCCTAAGACGTAATAGCTGTAGCGTCTCCAGCTACCCCTTTCTTGTATGCGCCTAGTAACTATATTTATCACTAGTTACTTCTCCTAGTAGTAGTAGTAATGTATATGCAGTATAAAGGTTGACTACAGATGTCACCACTACAGGAGACAGCCTGAAGGTGGACCTCATACGACCATCGTGGCAGCCGTGGCGTAACGACCACAACTGCGCCAGCTACCACACTAGGTGGGTCAAGTGAGCCCCTAGTCCTAATACACCCCACGTCTTTATAGGCACCATCCTAACCCTAACCCAACAATCAAGACTGGGGACCCATTAAGAAACTTGGTCCATTAAACTAGGCCCCTTATTCTAATGACTAAATTAATTTACGGTATATGGATCTTCAGTAGTGTTCCCTTCAGACCTGCGCTGCCACTAAACACTCCATTAAGGGCCGCGCACTTCATCCCACCAGCCGAGCATATCATCAGCACCAGCGGTAGATCCCATCAGTCTGGGCAGCTGGTACAGGGAGCATGTGGCCGCCTCATAACGCTATTTACAGCAAGTCTTTGAGATGATTAATGACATTTATACTTATGATAAATCTTATTGTTGATAAAAGTAATCAGTATTTTTTTTCACCTGTTGAAGGTCCATATTATTTTGTTATTGGTGAATATAAAACGGTCTTATTATTGTTGTTGTTGTTATGATGGCGGCGGGTGGCAGGTTCGGCCGTGGGTTGTCACCTGTCCTGTTGGTGTCAATGCCATGTTCGGGCAGCACCTGGCTCCGATACCTGCTGGAGAGTAGCACCGGGTTCTTCTCCGGTTCCAAATACAACGACACCATACTATACAAAGCTGGTAAGTCACTTTATAATAACACCATATATAGTGTAGTCGACTCACTCTGCCTTATACAGTGGCAATAGTCGCTCCTGCCAGGGTATACTGTATGGTCACACTCTCTCCTACACAGGATTCTTAGGGGAGTATGAAGGGATGGAAGGAGGGAGGACTATCATACAAAGGACTCACGGAGCCTCCTATTTCCTTGCTGATACCCACGACCTGCAGGACCGATACGAGAAGGTCGATCCTGACGTGCCCACTATCCTACTCCTGCGTCACCCTGCCAAGTGAGTCCTCATGAGCTTACTAACTCAGAACCAGGCCTTAACACACACACACACACACACACACGCACTCAGAAATTACAAGAAAATTAGTTATAAGATAATGATTACGTTGCCGGAGAACAATACAATGTAAAATACACAACAAATGTTATAGGTTAGGTTAGATCAGGTCTCGGATTCACTGTATGCGTCACCTCAACTCCCCCAGGACCCTTATCTCACACTGGAGGCTCTTCCACCTGGCCGGCTCCAACAAACACCTCGACGATGTCCCTGTGTCTATATACCAGAGCGAAGGTCAGTGTTTATCACCCTTAACCTAACCTAACCTGTACTAACCTGACCTAACCTAACTTGGCTGTAGTGGTCTTCTCAGAAATATATCAGGAATTCTTAAACATTTCCTCAGGATAACAGAAGACAAGAAGCAGCCAAACATTATCTCATAATCTTAAGGTAAATTTAATTAAGTTTGGCTTTTTTGGGGAGTTTCTTTGAGATATATGACGTCAGAAATCCCAACTAATCACAACCTGAATAAAATGTGAGTTTTTGACGTCAGGAGCAACAACCAATCAAAGCCTGGTTGAGGGGCGAGATTTGTGACGTCAGGAGCTGTAACTAATCACAGCATGGTGAAAGGGTATGATTTATTACGTAAGGAGCTGCAACCAAACCAATCACAGCCTTGTTGACGGGTGCTCTCTAGTGACATGTTCTCATTACAGACTTCCATGATTTCGTGAGTGAGGCAACGTCGCTATGGGAGGAGCTGGCGTCTGATCGTTTGTTGTGGTGTAACCGACCACTATACGTCCTTCACTACGAGGACTTGGTGGCCAACACAACCCACCACCTCCGCCAGCTGCTTGACTTCCTCAGGTAACTTAACACTCCTCTCACACTTCCCCAGGTAAGAAAACTAACCGTCTGCGTTACTTAGAGGATGGTGGGAAGTGATGGCAGTAGCGACCAATAAGTGTAGTGATCAGGAGGAGTAAAATTAATGAATAAATGAATGTATAAACAGCTCCAGGTATTGGTTTGATAGAGAACGCACAACGTGGATGGCGAAACAGACCTCAAGTGCTAACAGTCCCAGACCGTTCAGCCCTCAGTTGCCCTAGTAGACTCCACCTTCACCTAACTATTTTTAACTAGGACACCTGAATAATTGGGTTAGATTAGATTATGGCCTATTAGGTCTTGGCCTTAGAAGGATTGGGAGCCCTATTATGACACACTCTATCTAGGGGGTAACACACGTCCTCCCTCCCTCCTTCAGTGTACCTGTAGACGAGGGGAGGTTCACCTGTGTCGCCTCCCACCTGGATGGTTCCTTCAAGAGAAACACCACGAGACACTTCGATCCCTTCACGGAGGATGAGAAGGTGAGGTTTGTCAACGCCGTCAAGAGGATCAACAGACTCCTGACGGTGCTCGGGTATCCACAGCTCCCCGGCAGTAGCGACCACAGTGACTGAGTGAACGTTAGGTGGATTAAATAGCTCAAGAAAAAAAGCGGGAAAATTAATAAAATGAGCGCGCGCGCGCGCGTGTGTGTGTGTGTGTGTGTGTGTGTGTGTGTGTGTGTGTGTGTGTGTGTGTGTGAGTCTTTTGAGAGAAGTAACTTGAAAAGATGTATTTAAAGTTTGTTATGAAAAATACATTATGTAAATATTAGTAACTTTAGAGTTTATGAAATAGTTATATATTTATTATAATCTAGTGAAAGTAATCAAGACTGTACATTTTAAATTAATATACTTTGATTTCATAATGTATAATTTGTAAGCATATATGTAAACTTATACGTACTTATAAAATTATACATATGAATACCACATTTCAGCAGATATAGACATGAACCCTAATGTAACTCAAACCTAATTACCTCTAACTTAACTTGACCTACCCTAACTCAGTCCCTTTTAGCCCTAACTTAACCTATAGCCCTAAGGACGGGAGGTAATAATAATTTTCTGGGTACTACATTACAGTACAACCACACTAAGACGGGAAGGTCCTTGTTGAGTTTGATTGTAAATACATTGTACTGGTAACATTGTATTTAATTTACACCCCATGGATTCATTTACATTCCAACCCCAACTATCATGTGTTATAACTCTGATACTATGAGTTATTGACACTATGATCATGGAGCTATTTATCCTTATGTATGTCTCAGCAATACACAGGAATACACCCGAATACACCGCCTAGAATTATGTAACGTAAATATCACCGCTATAGCTTCTCCCTTGCTTGACTTTACACTGTTGACATACGCACTCACCGATTCAGAATAACACACGGCAATGACTACTCAACTCACGCGACCCAACCTGTGTAATTAAGTGGACATGAATATCTCGAGTGATGGGGCGGCAGATATTGCACATGGAAACACCATTACGGTCCAAATCCCGTAGTCCCATTACACTGAGACTTGAGTCATTAATATTAGATCATGATTACAGCGATCTATCACGTTCCGTTTAATATTAATGTGTGTGTGTGTGTGGGTGTGTGTGTGGAATTTACACCCCAGGATAAACATTGGTTAAAGTATGACATATTACCGTCACGTGTAAACAGATGTTGTAGTACATTTGTTGACATTGACCTCCTTTGTTCTCCCTCCTTCCCTCTATCCCTGACTTCTTCTTGTTCCCTCTCTTTTTCATCCTATCTCTACTTATTCCTTCTACTTTCCTTCTTCTTCCCTTCCATTATCCCTTCCCTCTGTCATCTATCCCTCCTTCATCCAGCCCCTCCCTCTCTCATCCACCCGTCCCTCATCCATCCCGTCCCTGTCTCATCCATCCCTCCCTCTCTCATCCCCTCCTTTTCTCTCATCCATCCCTTCCCGTTCTCACCCATTCCCCTTCCCTCTCTTCCCTTCTCCACCTTCACGTTATCATGGACTAGGGAGAGGAGTGGGTAGTACCGCCCTTAATGCCATCAAAGGAATCAAGGCGAAGGGTGAGGTGTAAGAGGAGGTCGTCTCAGTTTCACACTCCCTCAACTCCCTACGTCTTGGATGATTATTAGTGTCCCCCCCCCTCCCTACCTGTCCTCACTAGTCAGAAAGGCCTCAGTCCTAATAGTCCCCAGTTCTAATTGGCCCCAGTTCTAATTGGCCCCAGTTCTAATTGGTCCCAGTCTTTGTGAATCCCAATTTAACCTGACCAAACTATCAGGACTTAGGATTCACACTTTAGCTCCAGTGTTTTAGGTTAGGTTAGGTTAGGTTGGGTTAGGTTGATTTAATTATGATCAAACCTCTTAGGATTGGGGTTCATATGGCCTGTAACCCTTGTATATTCTCCTTACATAGGCAGAGTCCTGAAGGATAGCTTGTGTGGCTCCTTCCCTCAGTCATCCATCAGTGAGGCAACAGGCAGAGCTCTTGAAAGGTAATCCAGGGGAAACAAATTCACATTTTACCTCAGTTTTTTTGGCTTTTTCGGTGGATTAGCTTAAATATTCATGACGTCGTACAAGAGAGTATGTTTGTCCAACGGCAGCCAAGGAGAATTAACATTTCCATCCATATCAAATGAGCGACGTAATTTTTTGAGAGCGATTAAATATTTGCTCCGTCACGCTGTTGTTCTGGTTTACCTTCTCCCAACACACACACAGCACGGACGGTACTGCACTCGACCGCCTTCACTTCCCCAATTGTAAACATAGGTACCCGTAAATTCTAGGTTCCTTAAAACTAATAACCTCAACAACCTTAAAAGTAATAACTTTCTACAACTAATTTTGATATGTTAAAGGTTAGCCTACGTTCCCTAGGCCTATCATTTGTATATAGTACAAGAATCACATATAGGCCTGACGCAGCTTGGCCGGTCCGTCACCACCACCACTACCTTAATGTACACCCTTACAGCTAGGTGGACTAGGGATGTCCAGTGCGTGACCTAACAAGCCATAGTTCAAGAGGCGAGTGATGTAGTTACTGGGAATGTCCTTTGTATTCCCTTAAGCATATTTGTGAGATAACAGAAAGAGGAATACATATAGAAGACAATATTTGAATTCCTCTAAAGACATCAACAGAGATCAAGCGAAGACTGATACACTATCTATGGTAAGGTGTGTGTCTATGATGATGATGGAATAGAGAGAAGAGAGGCGTTTGCTCTGAAGATGGAAGACGGTGCAGGAGGAAGGTAAAGTTAGGAAATGGGAGATGTGATAGCAGGCGGACTATCCTCCTTGCGGGGACGGGGTTATGTCTGCCACGACATAGCATTTTAGGGGGGGGGGTGCTCCAGGCCCTTGAGTGTCTGTTGGGGTGTCCTCATCTTTTTGTTTTATTTACTACTTTTGTGTATGTTGGTTTTCATTGTATATATATATTGGTTCTGGTCGTCTGTTATGCCACCAGCTGTGTGTTGTGGTAATGTCTTCTTGCATTAGTTGTTGTAGTGTTGGGTCTTCTAGTCATTGCAGCTTGTTCTCATATTACTAATGCTTGATTGTGCGTTCTGATGTTGATTGTTGTTAGGTTATGTTCTGTGTGTAGCTCGCTGGCAGTTTTTGTATATGGTGGTCTGAGTTTTGCTGCTTTTCTGAGGGCTAAGTTTTGAACTGCCTGTATTTTAAGTTTATTTGTTTTGTTATAGTGTTGAGTGGAATTGGGGGATACTCCAGGTGTGGTCTGACTAGTGCTTCATAAAGGTGTAGTTGTGTATTGGTGTTTAATTTACGGAATCTTCTGAGTTTAGCTAGTTGGGTCTTGGCTTTTGTGATTCTTTCTTTGATATGTGGGATTATGGACGTTTCTTGTGATTTTGAGCACAAGGATTTTCCCATTTTCTGCATATGGTATATTTTGGTTGTTGACCATGATGGGGTTGGGTCTGGTTTTTGCTATATGAATTATCTTCAATTTTTACATGTTTGTTATGATTTTCCATTTACTTTAGTCATTGTTTACGGTTCGATTTCTCTGCCTGTTCTGATTGCCATCATTTGTTTGGATTTCCCCTGGGTATTGTACGATTTGAGTGACGTCATCTGTGTATGCTATGTACTCTGAGTTTCTTGGTTGGGCAATTATCTCACCTGTTGTATAACCAGGACCCGCGAGCGAGCCACGTTGGCCAAAAACCTGAGAGAGAGGGGGGTTGTCATCCTTTGTCCCTACTACAGTATACTGCTTAACGATGAAGACTGAACTAGCTTTCCTAACTAAACCTAACCTAACTAAACCAAACCATAACCTATCCTAATCTCATATATACAGGTACGTAGAACATAGTAGTAGATGAACGGTAAACAGAGGCGTGGCTTAGTAGTTTGGAATTTGCCCTGAGGGATGTGAGATGGCGATGGTAGGGGGGGGGATGTGTAGGTGTGGCGGGGAGGGTGTAGGTAGTGGTGTAGTGTTTTGTAGGTGTGGGGTGGATTATACAGGTGTGAGGTGGAGTATACAGGTGTAGGGTGGTGAACAGGTGTAGGGGTGAAGTGTTGTACTGTAGGCATGGAGTGTTAGGTTAGGTTAAGCTTTGTTAGGGTTAGTAGTGATGCTTTCAATTACGATGTGATTGTAATTCATGTAGTTTATTGTCCCTCTGTACACATCAATTCACATTTAGGCATAAAAAAGGGTCAGACATATATTAAAATCCAGGTTGGGAACATAATTACCTTCATTACACCTGACAGCTCTGCTTGATTTGCATAATGATATCATACATTTTATTGTTAACTAAATCACTGTACACGAATAAGCTGTTGGCCGCGTGACAGTTCGAGGTCTGAGTGTTTTAAGTCATGGCACCTCGTAAGGTTTCCTCTAGTGTATAAGATTGACCTCTAATTAGTGGATATAATTGTTTAATACTATAATGATTTAAATGAATGATATATTTTGAAGTTGTATGGTGTAAAGGGGTGGTGTGGTGTGGTGTGGTGTGGTGTGTGGTGTGGTGTGGTGTGGTGGATAGAGAGACTGTGATAAATACCGCAAAGAAAGATGATGATGATGGTGATAGAATATGCAAGCTTTACCCATCACCAGTTCTACAGCCTCAGGTGACGCTCCCAGCATCTGCATAATAGTTACCAGGGTTAAATATTTACCTGAATATGTTAATGAGAGTGAAAAAATTATGTAAAGTTTTCGCAAGTAATTCCAAAGTTAGTTGTAATGTCGTTGGTGATTATAACGCTCTTGGTTAGGTTAGGTTGATTGTGGATAAGACGAGACGAAGAATGATATGTAGTGGATAATTTTAAACCCAGAGTGTAAACACCTTTAATGAGTGACGTCACGCACCAGCTCAGAGTAAGCCAAACAAATGTGTCGGGTTCAATCATTAAAGCTCATTCAACTATGAACTCTTACTCGACATCAAACACCAGAACTTCTTTTCCTTCTTTCATCAATTATCTGCCGTTTTTTTTCCTCGTTTCTCTGTTCAGTTTTCTTTTCAACTTCCTGCTTCGTGTGCTGACGTAGCTGGTAGGTCATTTTTTCTCTTCCCGCTAACAGACCAACACACTACGTGGCATCTGTGGCCGCTTCTGGCTCTTTATTTTCAGGTTGGATTTCCTTAAGACGTAAGTCACTACCAAACACAACTGAGGAGTAATCACTCTTTGCCAACCAATCCCCTACCAGTCTTACACCGTGCCTTCTTCCTATCCCACCCACCAACACACCCCTGCCCACACCCTCCACCCACCCGTCCCCACACCCTCCATCCACCGCCTCCCACCACCCTCCACCCCACCCCTCCCCACCCCCTCCACCCACCCCTCCCCACACTCCACCCCACCCCTCCCCACCCTCCACCCACCCCTCCCCACCCTCCTCCACCGCTCCCCACACCCCTCCACCCACCCCTCCCACACCCTCCACCCTCCACACCACCCCTCCCCACACCCTCCACCCACCCACCCTCCACCCACCCCTCCCACACCCTCCACCCACCCCTCCCCACACCTCCACCCACCCATGCTTAATAACACCAGATGGCCGAGTAAATAGCGCAACATTGTCCATTTACAAAACCAAGATTATGTTAGCCTCATT